AGTCATGAACTTACTCGAAAAAAACTTTGGGGGGCCCGTACGCGGGTACCACGCGGGGTATGGCGCTAATTTTGGGGATTAGGGCCCGTGCGTGCATGTAGACTAAGTCCCCAAAATTTCAGCCCTGTAGCTTTTGTAGGTCTTGAGATGAAAAACCGTGACAGACGCACACACGGACACACAGACAACCTCTCGTTAATATGCGTTTTTCGCATTGCATTGCTGCAAAAAACGCATAAAAAGAATATAACGAAAGCGAAATGTAATTCTCACCAAGAATTCGGAATTTTCGCTTTCTGTTTTTCCAGTTCTTCGGATAAACTTTTTTGTTCGGGGCAGTTCGTTTGACGGCAGCTATAATTCTGATTTTGATCCATCTGAATCCATGAACATGAACGTAACACGGGGTTGAATATGTACCAGCCGCGATCTAAAATGCATCTTCACAACATGGCTTTGACAAGCACGGTGTGAGTTGAGGCCATATCACGAAATAATTTGGAAAACATCCAATAGAGAATTATTTGGCTAGAAACTGCACAAAAATGGCGCATAATCGAAAGCAACCTTCCAGAGCAAGCGCTGTGTTATCCCTCCCAGCTTCCTGCAATTCATGACTGCCAGAAATAGCTACAGCATCGCCCAAGCCACATCTCTGGGAATTTGAAGTTGCTGTAATTGAGCTATCGTCTTTCACTCGACCATCGTCGACTGCGCTCGGATTTGCCCAGCCAGAGCGCGTGATCAATTCGTCTGCAATAATCAGCTCATGTGTCATAAGTCAACGCCGCCGCTGCTCACCGAACGTGAAAAATAAGCAAACACATACCAACTCGGAGCACCGAATGCTGCATGGCTTTTAAATTCGCATCGAAATTACCCTGCCTACTTCCCGGCACATTCATTAGCACATGCTCCGGATGTATGACATATGGCTTGGAGTTGACAGTGCCTGAACAATCGAAAATGTTTATCGCAGCAAAAAGGTCGAAAATGTGTCTCTCAAAAAGTGTTAAGAGACTGACAACTTGAAGCAATAATCTTGCAGATGTAAATAAATCACCAGCGCACCGGCTACCGGTACGAAGATGCCTTTTTTGCACAGTTTCCCCGCAGGCTTTATTGCTAATGGCACTGCTTTTTTCTGGCAGATGCTTCTAGTCAGGAGAATTAAGAGTAGTCACCACGACTGTCAGAAACTATTACAATGACTCCCAATCCATACCCAAAAAATTTAGCACTTTAGTTGCTGCGGTTGCGGAGTTACGTCAGATTTCACGTGCTCGTACGTGATTGGTGACGTGAAAGCAGCCTTCGTGTGCGCTTTCTTAAACACTGTCCTGAACGAAGCTCGCAAAATTTCAGCACTCTAACTGCCTTGACTGCGTGGTTACGTCAAATTTCACGTGTCCGTACGCGAGTGGCAAAATGAATGCTGCCTTCGCGTGGGCTTGCTCATACAGAGTCCTGCGTCACGCCCAGAAAATTTCAGCGCACTAGCTGCTTTGGTTGCGAAGTTACGTCAAATTTTACGTGTGAGTAGGCGAGACGTACGTGAGACATGAAAGGGACGTGAAAGTCGTTTTTATGTCCGTCTGGCCAAAGAACACCGTCGATTATGCTCCTCTAGCTGCCTCAGTTCTGAAGTTACAAAAGTGCCTGCGTGAAATTTTCACCTTTCCGTACGTGAGATGAAGAGGGGCTGAAAAGCTCAATTTAATTTCACGGGCACAACAGTGGGCGACAAGTAACGCTGCAAAATTGTACTTCCGTATAATTGCTTAGCCAGCTTAAGTCTGGAGTTGACATGATACCAGTTTAAACCTTGACGTGAGCGCACGTGAAAGCTAGGGTACGTGAAGGCTGTTTCTGAAATCTTTGGATTAGACGCGGCCAAGGAATATCTTTGTGAAGTTTCGGCCTCCCAGCTTGTACTGTTCCGGGAAATGCTTTTTCGCCAAAAAAAAACTTTCACGTGCCCGCATGTGAGTACCACGCGGACGTGAGCATCCATTCTGAGGACAAGAGCCCGCATGTATGTGTAGATTAAGTTACCAAAGTTTCAGCCTTGTGGCTTTAGTGAATTCCGAGATGAAAACTCGTTACAGACGCTCACATAAACACACACACACAAAGGCAATCCCTCGAAAATACGTGTTTTTGCATTGCATAGATGCAAAAAACGCATAATATTGTGTCAGCCACTTTTATTTTATTTGGAACAGCAGTTTGGAACTCCTCTATCAAGGCGAGAAAAAAAAAGCAAATTATGCGCTAAGAACAAAAAAAAACGTGCGGCGTGCAAAGTGACATTATAGGTTGTAGAAATGCGAAGAAACCGGGTTCATCTGTTATGCGGAACTACTGCTGTGGTGTCAATTCAAAGCAAAAGCATGTCAAATTACAGATTACAATGAATCAGTCACAATGTTGGTATGATTCTACAGAATAGTCACTGTCGTTAGATTTTAATGAATTGATGGTAACGAGCGGCCATTTACCTTAGATAAAATGAGAGCAAAACCGAGACTAGCATCCGTTATGCGGAGAGGGGTGGCGGGAAGGAGGAAACATAATCTGCC